TTTTTCTTAGTTCTTCAGTAGTGTTCAGTTTACAATTTTGTTGTTGTTGTTTGGAGGCTACTGAATATAAAGATTTTTGTCTTTCAAGTCTAGTGACAGGATTCTTTGCTGTCTTCACCAAATATTTTCAGGCTTTATTGATTCAACTTAATTGATGAGGGAAAACTGAATTAGTTTACATAAGAACATAAGAGACGCCAATGTTGGATCAGGCCAAAGGCCCATCCAGTCCAACACTCTGTGTCACACAGTGGCCAGAAATACCAGGTGCCATCAGGAGGTCCACCAGTGGGGCCTTTTACTCTGTTAGACTGGCAAGTCATCCTACTCAGTAAAACATTGAAATGGTAATCAAGAGGGGGGGGGAGTTTGTTTGGCAGAGAGTGTGATGTACAGCAGTTAACATCTATTATCTTTTTAAAAGATACACAATTTCATTGTTATATTCAGTTTCTGCTCAGCCCTGGGATATCTGCTCAGCACTGTAGTATCTATAATGATTAAAAGGATGTTTGAGTCCAGTGGCTCCTTTAAGACCAACAACATTTTGTTCTGGGTATAAGTTTTCGTGTGCATGTACACTTCCTCAGATACATTGAAACAGAAGCCACCCACTCTTACATACAGGTAGAGGCTGAGGAGGGTGTTGCCTGGAACACCCAATTAGAGTCAAAATGCATAAGTAACTGAGCAGTAAATATAGCTAAGACTGGATGAAAATGATTGGTAAGACCTGTGAGTAGCAGCAAATTAGCATATGACATAATAAAGAAGTTTGCAACAGATGCGAGAACTGAATGACATTAGCATGTGTATTGTTTTATTGCAAAGGGACTTCAGAAACAGATGAACGGTGATTGCTGAGTTATAAGTTCTTACAACACTCAGGACAATGGAACCCTCAGGGCTTAACAGAGATGTTGATTTCTTATCTTGCTGCACAGCAGGAGCCAGAACTCATTCAGTTATTTTTTATTTATTTATTTATTTTTATTTATATTTAAACTACTGTTAAATACGTTAAATGATGTCATCTTGCAATTTTGGTAGTGACCCGAACAGTTGTTTATTAGCCATGGACCAGCAGCATAAAACATATATTAGCCAAAAAAACCCAGAAAACCAGGGGAGAAAAATAATTACACTAAATCAGCACAATATTGGTAGTGGAACAATATAAACTAAAATTTTATGAGAGTGCAGATTCTAACCGACCATGTGGAATGAGTGTACCATGTCTCTCAAGCCTGCATTAGAAGCTTTAGACCTCACAATTCAGGATTTGTGAAGAGACAACTATGGAAGAAGAACCAAGTTTGAGTCCAGTGTCACCTTTAAGACCAACAAAGTTTTATTCAAGGTATGAGCTTCTGTGTGCACACATACTTCTTCAGATGCAATGATATGGATGTTAACAGTTCATAGGCATGCAAATTAGCATGCAACATAATGAAGATGTTTTAACAGATGCAAAGACCTAACACAGATATCAAGCTAAATTTATATGGTCGCCATTTGTTTGGATTTAATTACATCTCTAAATAGGGGGCTGATGTTGTAAACATATCCTTAACTGTGGAATGCTAAGATCAATTAACTGAGACCCCGTTGATAGACTACATCTCTCAAGCATGGAGGTAACTGACAGGAGGTGGTGGGTGAATGGTTCACCAGATCAGAGAAATGTGTTCCAGTTTTCACTGTGTTACAGTAAAATCACTATTCCAATACACTATTATAAATAAAAAATATACTTTAAAAAATATGTAAGGAGTTACCATTGCATTAGCTTGGGACTTCCAACAGACACTTTGGGTTATTCCAAGAGGAACTAAAGCTGGTAAGTTGTACAACTGCATGAAATTGTGACACATTTGGAATAGAGCCCCAAAATGCTGCTCGAGGGGGGAAAAATTTACAAGTACAACTTACTGGTTATGCTAAGGTAAAGGTTCCCTTGCTCAAAAGCCAGTTGAATCCGACTGTAGGGTTGCGGTGCTCATCTTCGTTTCCAAACCGAAGAGCCAGCGCTGTCTGAAGACATTTCCGTGGTCATGTGGCCAGCATGACTAAACACCAAGGCGCACGGAACGCTGTTACCTTCCCACCGAAGTGGTACCTATTTATCTACTTGCAATTTCTTGCTTTCGAACTGCTAGGTTGGCAGGAGCTGGAACTAGAGACGGGAGCTCAATCCATCATGCGGCACCCGGGTCTCGAACTGCTGAACTTTCGACCTTCCACAGCCTGCAGTTTAGCGTTTTAACCACTTGAGCCACCACAGCTCCTCTGGTTATGCTACTGGTTGTGAATTTGCAGAGAATTAGGTGCTGCTGATGCTATAGAACCTGATAGGGAAGGATATATATCCATGGAAAACAAAGGGAATATTAAAGATAATATGGAAGTTCAACTGAACTCAGTGTTCCCAAATGTAACACACCACAGAATTCAATGTAACCATATCAAAGGGCCATTTTTCTCCTATAAATGGAATTAACATGTAAACGTAATTAACAGAATTCCTAGGGGGAAAAATACCAGGAATGGCAAGATAATACAAGTCAGTGGGTAAAATTATGGATGCTGACCAAATTGTAAACTACCCAGCTGCATCGTGTTTTTTTGGAAGCATCAGGCTTACCACAGCATATACTGAAGCTCAAAATGCATGCAGCCATTGTATCTTTGCAAAATCTGAACCCATCAGCACTATGCAATAGAAGTAAATTAGTGGTAAAGCAGCTGTTTCACCATTATCAAAGCATCTTGGTCTTGAGATACATCTCTTTCAGCTTCTTCAAGATGTTCCATGGGATACAATAGCTGGTACTTAATCTGAGAATGCATTGTATAAAACTCCTCGAGGTCCTTTGTCAGGTGTGCAGCCAGTTTTAGAGCTCTTGGGCTCGGCGCACCTTGACGTCAATAAAACTTTATCTCTCCTCTTGCCTGCCTGGTGGTCTGGAGTTCTTTGGGCTCAAGCCTTCGTTTTGCTCTTTTCTGCTTCACATGGTCATGTGGCCAGCATGACTAAACGCCGAGTTACCATCCAACTGAAGCGGTACCTATTTATCTACTTGCAATTTCTTGCTTTCGAACTGCTAGGTTGGCAGGAGCTGGGACCAGAGACCGGAGCTCACTCCATCACGTGGAGTGCCGAGTGCTGAACTGCTGAGCTACAGACCTTCCAGTCTGCAGCTCAGTGTCTTAACCTTTGAGCCACCACGGCCCTCAGTATCCAAGTGGGGCTGTTCAAATCTGAATCCCAAGCATCAGCTTGGGGCCAGTTTGGTGTAGTGGTTAAGTGTGCGGGCTCTAATCTGGGAGAACCAGGTTTGATTCCCCACTCCTCCACTCTCACCTGCTGGATGACCTTGGCCAAGCCATAGTTCTGGCACAGCTGTTCTTGAAAAAGAACAGTTTCTGTCAAAGCTCTCTTGGCCCTACCTACCTCACAGGGTGTCTATTGTGGGGAGGGGAAGGGAAAGGAGTTTGTAAGCCGCTCTGAGACTCCTTTGGGTAGTGAAGGGCAGGGTATAAATCCAATCTCTTCTTCTTTTTCTTCTTCTCTTCCTATCAGCTGTTCTTCAAAGAGTCCTGGACCAAACCAGAAGAGTTTTTATAGAGTACAAGTCTAATGCATCAGAGGCATCTCAGGGGGAAAGTGGTCAGAGAGAGAAGGAAACTTGATAAACTAAATGTCAGTCCTGACAAGACTGAAGTGCTGCTGACCAATTACTCGAGAACTGCAGAGACAGCCTGTCCTGGAGGGAGTTGCAAGTCTCCTGAAGGAACAGGTTTGTAGCTTTGGGGGTACTGCTCAATCATGGCCTATAGTTAGATGGTCAGATCTCTGTGGCACACAGTGATTTTATCAGCTTCAGCTGATACACTAGTCCTTGAAAAGCCATTCCTCTAAAAGTGTGATCTGTCCACAGGATCCATACTTTGATTATATCCAAGTTAGATACTGTAATGCACCTTACATGGGACTGCTTTTGAAAATGGTCTGGAAATGTCAAACTTTGTCCAAAATACAGCAACTAGGCTTTTGTCAAGGGACTGTATTCCCCCAGTGCTAGAAGATCTGTACTGGCTGCCTGTTTATTTCCAGGCACAATGCAAAATGCTGGTCCTTTAAAGCCTGAAATGGCTTGGGGCCAGGGTGTTTGAAAGACCGCATCCTACCATATTGTTCATCTTGCCAGTTAAGATCTGTCTCAAAAGCCCTGCTCTCTGTGACTCTGCTATCAGAAATGAGGCAGGTGGCAACCGAAGGCAGGGCTCTTTCAGTAGTAGAACTAATCTATTTCTTTTAGATAATAGTTATTTGTATCAAACAAAAATATTGAAAATATTTATTATTATAGGAGAAAAATATGGCCTACAGTGTTCCCTCTAAACAGCGTGAGCTAGCTCACAGATTTTTAGCCTTCAGCTCACACATTTTTGTCTTAGCTCAAGAAGGATGGCTCCAGAGCAAACCAATTTATGCAGTAGCCAAATCGCTTGCTCACAACTTTAATGTCAGTAGCTCACAAAGTAGAATTTTTGTTCACAAGATTCCACAGCTTAGAGGGAGCATTCACTCCTCTTTTAGGGTTAGCCCACCATGGAGCGCACGAGGCAAGACACCCTATAAAACAGAATTGCCAGAGCAGTAGCTGTGGGTTTGGTGAGCAAAGCAAGCACGGTCAGGCCCTTAGTTTCAGATAAACTGCTATCACTCTGCCTAATCTGACCTTGTGAAATAAAATGGGGTTTAGGACGCTGTTGAAATTTCCATGAGGAATGGGGAAATCTAAATAAATTCTTAGATTATCGTAAAATTGTAATAAATGTTGCAGTTTTCTATCCAGAGGACCATAGAATTCCTTCTCTGCTTCTTGTTGATTAATTTCACCAGTATAAAAATACCTTCAGGAAATCCTATGTGGTCAGGAAGTAGCAGAACCCTGCATGAAGCTCCCTGGTATCTTTGTTTAGTATTGTTGGAGATGTATTTCCTTGGTCTCATTCTTACTGCAGTTCTACAAACATGTAAAGGTAAGAAATTTAGGTTGTGACACAATAACGGAAATGCTTTTTAATTTCATATATTGTGTTATACCTACCTGGTTAGTAAATTCAGTTGAAATTTAACAGTACTTAAGTAAAAAGAAATTTATTTATTTCTTTATTTTCAAATTTGTTCCCTGCCCTCCCCGCAAAGCAGGCTCAGGGCGGCTTCCAACACGACATAAAACACGGTTATTAAAAACACTAAATGCATTTAGTATCACAATGTAAGTATTTCTATGATGGGGTTGTTGTTTTAGGGTTTTTTGTCTCAGTTATTCCAAAAAAGCCTTTCTGACAGCCCTTTTGGGTACAATTTTATTGTTATGCATATGAAGATTTTAGTTTTAGAAGCATTTGATTGATCACTGAATTCTGCAGGTGTCGGTTGCATGTATCACTGTGGTTTCATCATTTAACCTTGCTAATACCTTTCTGAGTTCTTTGTTTTTGTTTGTTTTGGTAGGATGTCTCTCTGTTGCAGAGGAAGGCAAAATTGTGGATTCAACTGTGAAACTTACCAATAATATGACTCTCAAATGTGTCTATCCAAAGACTGCAACTATAACCCAGATGTCATGGATTAAGAGCAAAAGGAAAGAGGCAATTGCAGTCTTCAGACTGCCTCATGACCTACATATTACTAGCACATATGAAGGCAGAGTAAATATTGTTAATCATACTGTAAATGATAAATCCTTGGTTTTCAGCAGTACCACTGAGGCAGATGTTGGCTTATATGTATGCTCGTTTCAGACCTTCCCATATGGGATATGGGAAAAGAAGGTACAGGTTGTCCAATCAGGTAAGCTAAATGGATTGCTCACTGTCTTCGAAGATTTGGATAAGTGCAACATGTCACTTCTATGGCTGTTTGGCTTTGCATTAGTGGCTGACAAAAGTGGCCCAAGTGTTTTGGATCCTTGTACTCTTGACTGTAGATTAGATGTATATGATGGGGAGAAGAAGGTTGAATGGTAGAGCACAGGTGTTGCATGCAGAAGTTCCCAGGTTCAGTCTGGTTTCTCCATTTAAAGGTTTTCAGACAGCAGGCTTTATAAAACACCCTTCTATGCCTGGAACCCCAGGGCTTCTGACAGAGTAGATTATAATGAGCTAAATGGATAAGCGTCTAACAAGGTGTAGGTCAACTTCATACGTTCATGGGGTCATTTTGCCTATGCAACATATCTGCCGGGAGGGACACTTTAAATAAAAAGAAGAAGCAGAGGGGAAAGGAGTGTATAGCTCTGTTCCCACCAGAATATTTTAAAACTCCACCATCACCACCAAAATGCTTTTGCTGAGAACAGCAATATTATTTTCTTTGTATGAATTGTAATTTTACAACAATAGGCTAGGATAACATAGTTTCTCAATCTTTTGCAAATATGTTACCAACAACACAAATGCACAAATCCTTTTCTTCTGAGGGCCTAACTATACAAATAGTCCTGTTCTCATGACAAAAATTCCTTCTGTCACTGGAAATTATCATTGGATCCAATTTATAACATTCAAATTCATTAACAATCCTCATCCTGTGTATAGCATTCTGTACTTCAATGACATTCCGCACTTCAATTTAGACAAGCGTGTCTGATACTAACAAGAAAGTAAATCAGATATCTATATGTATATTTGCACTTTCAAGAGTTGTCTTACAGACAAAACCAAATATTTGTTAGTGATTCAAAGGTGCATATGACAAACATTTTCCATGTGATGGAACCTGTGACTGAGAGCTTTTGCTTCTGCTTCAATGGCTTCACACCACCTCAGTGATCTTAAGGTGTTAAGTCTCTGGGTTAGTGCTAAGTGCTTTACCTAAGATGAGAGACGGTAAATATCTTACTTGTGTAACATTTATCTTGTGTAAGCCAGCCTGAGCCTGCTTCGGCAGGGTAGGGCGGGGTATAAGTGGAAAAATAAATAGACGTAATGATAATTGTACAGGATAATGATCACCCCCCCCCCCAAATAATCCTTCACTTCCAGGGATTCCACACTTCTAAGTAAGTCAGCAGAAGCAACAAAATAGTCTACTACACTTGCACCTAAATGATTTATACAAGTAAAATCTCCTTTTCCACCAAAATATGTGTATCCATTTAATATTAACAGATCATTCTTTAGTAATAAGGATGCAAAATGTCTGCCCGATCCATTAATTTTCTTGTCTTTAGATCTTCTGTAACTCATAATTGGAACGTCCTTGTATAAAGGAGACTGAGAGCTTTCTAATTTCTCTCTCTACCTCATGCAAAAGCTGTTTGAGCTAAGGAAGAACACTTGCAAGGGATTTGCGTCTCTTGGTGTGTGGCTGTTACAGGTGCATTATGTTAGTGATCCAATATTCCACCTGCTAAAGAAAGTGTTTAATTATGGCAGCTGCTCTCTGTGTGTGAGAGAGTGTGCACATATGTGTGAGTGTGTTACTGAAGCAGGCTTTCTTTGTTAAGTGAAAATTCTATTTCATCATGTAATGATTCCAGTCTTGCTTCAAAGTTCTTACTCTTCTAATTCTGTACTTGGGCTAATTGAACTCTGAGAGACAGTTCTTAGTTCAAATTTTTAATAAGTACTAATGAAAAGTATAAGTGTAAAGATTCAAGGTGGGAGAAGAATTCTCTGTCTGCATTAAAAAAATAGATTCCCAGTCCCTACTGAAATTCCAAAGGAATTAAAGACTTGCTGTCTATTGCTGGTGTCAAAAATTTGGTAAATTCTCTTCTGGTTCACAGTCATAATAGCATCATGGTGGGTTTAATTACTCCCGTATTTTCCCATTCTTCACCTATGTCTGGTAATGGTTTTCTAACAAGCAGAACAGTAATAGAGTGAAGACAGAACGATGTCACAACAATTTCATCCTCAGTATAGCACATAATCCTCCACTAGCATGACAGATTTATATAGAGATTGAGCTTGAGTATCATTTCCTCTTTCTGAGAAGCTTATGCTCAGATAATAAATTATGGGACAGATACTTTAGGCTGTATATTTCATGCATTACACCAGTTCAAGGCTGTGGTCATGGATATAAGGACATGCATCAGTTAATGGCAGTATGAAGGTACTGCATGAATGCCTGAGAGTGGCACAAAGCCTGAAACAGGAGCTCTTATGATATAATGAAATAATAAGATCCCAATGACATGATGTAAGACCAGATCTGACACAAATAGCCTATTTCATCACTATCGTATTATTATTTCATTGATCAGCTATCATTGTATTTATAGAGAGATCAAGGGGGGTGACAACAAAATGAAATCGGCTAGGAAGATGAGGAGAAAGCTGAGCTCACTGCATATCTGAACTCTAGCAGCAGCTGGCCTTGGTTTCTGGCTGAGAGCCAGTGTTCCCAGGTGAAGATAGCCCTCTTCTTTTGTGGCCACCACTGAGGTGCCTCCAGAGGGAGACTTAGTTGTAGAACAACCAACAGAAGTAGCAATGGGCTTTCTCTAGTGGGAGGGGGACACCAGCTTACCAGCACTGGTTCTTTGCTGATGGATGGATGGAGTTGGGCTGACCCTGGTCTTACTAGAAGGAAAGTAAATCTCTTACAACCCCAGGGTGTTCTCTTCACATCTCTGAAGCACAAGCTAGGAAACCTGGAGGTGAAGTTTGGGCCCCCTGTAGACTCCTCTTGAGGAAACCACGTTTTGTTTAGTCAACCACTGCAGCAAAAATAATCTCTTTCTCTGCAACTGGGAAATAAGGAAGCACTAACCTAACCCAATTGGTAAGAGCATTGTGCAATAACCTCCCCCCCAAAAAAAACCCCACACTATTTAAGAGCTGACTCTGGCTCCTTGAAGAACTGTATCAAGCAGAATTTGTAAATATGGAAATGAACCTTAAGCGCCACTGACAAACAAATATCTATGACCATATAGAAAACCAACGCCCTGGTATGAAACATTTGTGGTACCCTTGCTATAAGATGTTCATTTTGCAGAATTACAGCTTCTGTGCAATGTACCAGTATCTCAAGTCACTCTAATTGTTACATTCCACTAAAAGCCAGTTTTAAAATAGAGAAATATGAGGTTGTACCGTGACAGACACGATGTACCATGACAGACAGTTGGATGGAAATTCTTGCAGCTTTAACTATTTACTGATGAAGAAATTAAAGCTGTCTTGGGCCAGTGAATTTTTTTTTGAAAAATTGGTCTTCTGCTATATACATTTGCCATAGGTGAAAGAGTCAGCTGAGAAATGTCAACATACTCATTAATAGTTCTTTCTTTGGCTGTTCTGAGTAAGGAAGAGAACCAGGTGAAAGCTAAACTCTGTACAAGATGAAAGGGGTACCCCACCCCCTTCCTAGTGGCTTCCTGTTTCTTGGGTCACATCATGCTCACTCCTTCCTAGTGCTCTTCCCACTCCTGTGTTGCTAAAACTGGAAGCATGAGAATGTGTCTATCTAAGGACAGGGACCATGTGAAGGGGAGCCTGTGATAATCTCTCCCTCGCAGCTGCTGTACAGCCCTCCCCCAATTCACGTTATCTGAAGGAAGAAGAGACCAGAGGCAGCCGATGGATAAGGTGTTAGCCATTGTGATTGGGCATTTATGGGTACCCATTTCTATGAAATGTGTGATCACTCTTACAAGAACATTCCTAATGAGTGACAGTGATTCCCTCTTGACATTATGATAGTCCCTCTTGAGAGGCAGCCCCAATCAGTGGTTGAGGTGGTGTCATCTCTTCAAAGGGGCACCGCTCTGAGGCAGCTTTTCCTTGCAAGGACTTCCTGGTAACTTCAGGGATTCCCCTGCTCCTGAAGCTCATCCTTTTGGTCACACTATTCCCACCCATAGTGTTTCTTTAAGTGAATCTATTTTTTCTTACATTCTCAGTCTTACTGGACTGTATACCCTCTATACATAGAGCCACTCCACCTCTGACCCTTCCCTCCCTATCCTTCTGATGTAATTTATATCCAGGAATCCCTGTATCCCACTGATTATCCTCATCCCACCAAGTTTCTGAAATGCCGAAAATGTCTGTTCTCCTCTGACACTGAGCATTTCAGCTCCCCTTTTTTACCTTGTTCACTTCTAGCATTTGTATATAAACATCTATAATTTCCCAGACATGTTAGGCCTGGAAACTTTCTCCTGTGGCCTCTAGACTTTGTCAGGAAGTCAATATTGTTTGTCTCAGTGGCCAGTCCTAATCCATTTTCCTCTAGAACAGTAACCATTACCCCTTCATCTCTTTGAGATAAGCCATCCCGAACCAGAGATATTTCTTCTCCTGTCGTCTTTCCACCACGATTTAGTTTAAAAACTAGTCTGCCACATTTTTGGTTTTAAGTGTCAGCAGCCTGGTTCCTTCTTGGGACAGATGAAGACCATCTCTTTTGTACAGGTTCTGCTTGTTCCAAAAAGCACCCCATTGCCTAACAAACTTAAAAGCTTGTTCCAAAAAGCACCCCAGTGCCTAACAAACTTAAATCATTCCTCCATACACATTGTTTAATCCATTCATTGAGACTCCTAATTTGTGCGTGCCTAGCTAGCCCTGTGCATGGAACAGGCAGCACTTTTAAAAAGGCTACCTTAGAGGTTCTGGCCTTGAGTCTCCTGCCTAGTAGCCTAAATCTTTCCTCCAGGACCACGCAACTACGTTTCCCCATATCATTGTTGCCAACATGTACCATGACCACTGGCTCCTACCCAGCACTGTCTACCAGCCTATCTAGACCACACGTAACATTTGCTACCTTCGCACCAGGCAGGTAAGTCACCATGCAGTCAGTATGCAGATTCAAAACCCATCTATCTATATGCCTAGGGATCAAATGATCAACTACCAAGAGCCCCCGTCCCTCCCTTCTAAAGAATACCTGTTCACCAACTGAAGAAGGGGTCCCTTCTGAGGGCACACTCCCTTTATGATCAGAACAGTGCCCTGTTTCTCCTTGACCTTCGTGCTCCCTGACAGTGGTGGGGCTGCCATTCTCAGAGTGCTTCTCCAGGTCAGCCACCTAGGCCTCAAGGGGGCGAACTCATTACCTGAGAACCAGGAGCTCCTTGCACCAAGCACACACCCATGACTTCTGTCCAGTTGACACAGAGTCATGTATGTTACACTCAATGCAATATACTGGATAGCCCCGAACCCCCTTCTGACATTCTACCTTCAAAATGAATTCCTTGAGATCTCAAGTAACACAAACCAATTAAATCACTCTTTGCTTATTAGTAGTTCTGCATTTAGGTGGCATGTGCAAAATCACCTGAGAACCAGTCCTCTGGAGGGAAATTAGTCCTGCACTCTTCCAGTCTTTGAATGGCACTAAAAAGATTATTGAATCAATCCTATATGATAAATTCAAATAGGCTAATTTTAATTATGTTTTGGAAAAAACTATTTCTGTAGATGTGTATTATACTTCCCGTTCGATCCAGATCTCAATATTGTTTGGAAAGTCTCCACTACAAAAATTTAGTTATCTTCTTGGGGGGGGAAATAGCATAGGGGTACACTTTGCTTTGCTTGCATGTTGTAATGACTATCTCTTTTGTATCACCGGCCTCTGTGTGTTTTGGGAGTGTGTCATCCAAATGCCAATATACAGGTATCCCCTGCTACATGTACCAATGAATGTATCCATTGACACAGGAGGATTGCATGGACAAAGAGTGAATAGTGCGCGAAGTGTAGGTTGTTCTGTGTTTCTAACTGGTTTGGTGAGGGCTTGAGTGTTATTATTATTATTTATTAAATTTATAGCCCACCCTCCCCGCCGTGGAGGGCTCAGGGCGGCTAACAAACATACATATGAATATATACATTAAAACTCTATAGTGATGTAAAAACAAATTAAGTTAAGATTACAATGTAAAACCATAACTGCTCAGTACATACTGTTTGGGTGGTTGTGGAGGACAATAGTGGGAACTGGCTGTAATTCTGGGTTCTAGTTAACCCTTGTGTTTTTCTTACTAAAAAGATGTCACATATAGTTCTTCTGAGGAAGCACAGTTGTCACAAGAAAGAGTCTTGTGTGACAAGGATTGGCAGTCTGGACCATATCTGCTTAAACCCATATCTGCTTAAACCCTGCTGCAAAAAGGAGAATATTCAATGGGGAACAGAGCACATACATCCACATGATCCAAAAGTGCACATACATCTACATGATCCAGAAGAAATATCCTCTTCTTCAGTTTTATTGTCATAGAACACTCTCTACTGGAATGATCATAGGAGCCATAAGCTGTAACTGGTCCTTATTGGTTCTTGATATTAACTGAGGTTTTTAAGACAGTTGTTGATTACAGTGTGACTGAATTTCTAACTGTTCATAACTAATTTAAGATTGACCAATGAATATCAATCCTGGGGTATGGTTCTCTATGAAATGCTTAATGTGTTAAGAGTGTAAATATATACAATGATAAAAAAATTCATTCCCTATTATTTGTTTAACAGGGAACTTTACGCCTCCAGTCTCAGCAGGTTCCCATATCATTACTGGACCAGGGAAGAATGTCACATTTAGATGTGGGACTGCCCCTGTGATAGCAATGAAACATGTGACATGGGAAAGGGCTCATGAAGGCACTGTGGATACCATAGTCAAATGTACTCAACTCAGTCAATCAGTTCATGGTTCAGATTACGAAGAACGGGTAGAGATCAATTGTTCTACCCAGGCAAACACAATTGTACTTTGGAATGTCACAGCATCTGATTCTGGAATGTTCCGCTGTTGTTACATTGGAGCTTCAGGTGAATCTGGAGTTCATTGGACAAAGTTGACCGTCACTGTCAACGGTAAGTGGGGGAAGGTTCTTTGTTTTTTCCTGTCCCTGTTCATTGGCAAGCATTTATTTTAAATGCATCTAAAAAGTCTCCACTAAGCAGTATAAAGGCTTAACAGTTTTTAAAAGCTTATGGGAAGCAAAAACAAACCAAAGAATGCAAACATGGAATGGTGAAAAAACACAAAAAATCACTATTAGTGTGTTCTGCAGCACATTTTATTTATTATTTAGGAAAAAAATATGCCACCTCTCCAGAACATAGACTGTAAAAACAGACCATTTACAGCTAAAAGATCAATTAAATTAAAAGACTGGGTGAACAGAAATGTTTTAGCCTGGCACCTAAGAGAAACCAGTGCAAATGCCAGGAAAGCTTCAAGGGGTCAGATGGGGGAGAAAAAACAGTTTTACAAGCAATTTCCTGCTTAGGGAGGTGTCATTTTGTTCTTCTTCCTAGGACTGGGCGGGGGGAAGCAAGATTATTTTGATTTAAAAATGCAGCATAGTAGTGAGGAGAGTTTATGATGTTCCAGTTTGATGTCTCTAGCTTGCCCAGTGAACAAGGTGGAGTTGTAAAGGAAACCTCTGTTCTTCTGTTTACATGATTACTGATTTCCTGTAATGTTCAGGTTCTCTAGACAGAAAAAATTATACTAGAGGGGAGATGGTCTTCTGACTACCGCTGTGTGGAGGAGCCACTGCTACTTATACTACTATACAACAAGGTAGCCAAATGGTTTGCTTGTGTGCCCAAAGACAATTCACCTCCTGCACTAGAAAGCATAGGCATGCTGCTTTGTCTAACTATAGCTTCTACTCCTGCAAGAATTTTTGGCCTATTCCATACATCTGCACCATCAGTGATGATGAAATAGGAAAGCAATGAGGGGGGGAACTCCCCCCCCCCGATCTTTGCTGCTGCTGCAGAAGGAAAAACAGGTTTCAGAAACTAACCTTTGTGTAAGCAATAGGAATGAGCACGAACCAGCTCACAAACTAAAGTTTGTGATGAATTTTCACTGGTTTGTGGTTCGTGAACTGAATTTTGTGGCAGGTCAACCGGCACAAACTTTCCACAAACTTTCAAGCAGTTTCTGGTGGTTCGTGAATGGATACATTTCCAGACATGCTGTCTCTGCTCAAATAAATTGTTTTCCAAACTTCAAAGTGACAAAGCCACTTTAAAACAACTTCAAAGCAACAGGAGGGTGGAATTCTCCAGTCTTGGAAACATTAATAGGTTTCCTGTGTGTTTGGTGTTATGAACCTGTGCCTCACATTTTCCCCAAAAGCACTGCTTTAGGGGCATCTTCATAAGGGGGGGGGCATAACTCGAACCCCCGAAGTCCCTGCACATAACTTGGAGGGCATGTAGAGGATGATCAGGGGGAGGTCCTCTGCAAGTTTGATGTCTCTAGCTTGCCCAGTGTCCATTCTATGCACTCCTGAACCTGTGAATTTCTGCAGAAAGCACTTTCCTGGTGGCATCTTCTTCTTCTTTTTTTTTTTTGGGGGGGGGGGTAACTCAGACCTCGTAAATCCAATCCACACCAACCTTGGAGGGCAGGTAGAGAAGAGTCAGCTGGAGATCCTCTGAGTCTGGTGTCTCTAGCATGCCAGGGGGCATTCTACTGCATCACAAATTGAACCAATTCACTTTGTGGCTAAAAGTTCATGATGGTTTGTGGATCACGAACTGGGTACGCCATGAACCAAACCGCATTTTCCTGGTTCTTGCTCATCCCTATGTAGCAAGCCCTCCCGGTTACCATCACGAAAGTCCTATATATGTGTAAATTATAAATCCAGTACTGGAATTGTTTGTTGAAAACTACTGTGTAAGAATGTAATTGAAACTTTGCTGAATCACAACAAAAGACAAACTATACCAGCACTTTGGTTTTCAGTAGTGGCCACTCAGGTGCTTCTGGGAAGCACAGAATGGTGAGGGCAATTGTCTTCCTTCATTGTTTTCTCCCCAGCTACTGATATTCAGTGGTCTCTTGTCCCTGAACACAGTTCTATTTAGCTATCTTAGCTAACAGATTTGTGGTAGAAAGTATGGTCAAATTGCAGCTGACTTATGAACACCCCACAGGGTTTTTAAGGTATGAAGCATTTAGAGGTAGTTTGCAAGGCAGTCTTTGACTTTCTTGGTGGTCTCCCATCCAGGTACTAACCAGGGCCACCCCTGCTTAGTTTCCCAGATCTGATGAGATCGGACTCCTCTAGAGACCAGGAAATAGGCTTCCTTTACTACAAAGTGCCTTAACACCATCAGGTTCACTATGAAATCCTGTGTCTGGAATCATGCAGGAAGAATATATTTCTAGCAAACACAAGGTGTAGTAAATCAGGCCTCTCTACTGACTATGGAGGTATGGAATTTAAACAGTTGAGATCCAAAGTCACTAGAGTTTAGTGAGGAGTTACCTGGATTTCACTGACCTAAACAACTACCGCCAGCATTCCTTTTTGCATAGGTTGGTAACTACACATCTTCAAGCAATCTTGGAGGAGATGGATTATTTAGATCCATTTCAATCTGGATTCAGGCCTTGGTTTGAGATAGAAATGGCCTTGGTCACCCTGATTGATGAGCTTCACCAGAAGAGTGGCAGGGGGAATGCCTTCCTGTTGGTTCTTCTTGACCTTTCGATGGCTTTGATACCATCAACCGTGGGATCCTTCTGGAGATGCTCTTAGTTAGCAACCTACATTTGGCTTCTGAGATCTTCTACTTCCTAATGTTGTTGATGCCAATGTATACCATGACAGATGACCACAGGCCGGAGTTGTTAAATAAAACTTCCACATTTCAAAACACAAACTCTTAGCAAATATTGTTTTCTGCCAACATCTTCATCCTCATTCTTGTTTACTGTCATGCTGATTGATGTATCCTCTAGAGCTGCAGGAAAGTTTATATTTCTGCTGTAACCTTGGAGACTTATAGTCAAGTGACAGCCACTGGAGAGAAGAACTCTGTGAGAAATGCTAGAGTGTTTGAAAGCTCTATCACAAGAACTGTTTTCCGGGGAACCCACATGAAAAGGGTACATCATTCATTTTGGCCTAACATTCTTCTCCCTTGTCTCCAAACATGTATTTCTGTGGTTTCTGTCACAGAGCTGTTCCTGTGCGGTGTGTATACTTATACATGGCACAAACCTCTGAGCCAAGATACACAACAAGCTACATTTCACTTTTTAACAGAGCTGTTCAAACCACCAGTTAGGTTTTACTGCCTTGTAACTGTCTGACCTGTCAACATTTCTTCTGTAGACCCACAGTCAGGGCAATGAAGGTTGAAACCACTCAACCACAACATTTCTGGAAGCTTGTGAAGAAAAATGGCTCTGTGTGTGTGTCTTTGGCCAGAGCTAAAAAAAATGAAGCCAGGCTTCAAAACATGCTTAGTACTCTTTCATCCACCTATTTTCCTTGATAGGAAATATAAGAGATAAGTGATGCACATGTTTCTTAGATATTTACTAAGTTATTATTTTATTTAAAACATTTTATCCATCCTTCCTGCCCAATTAGGTCCCTCAAAGTGAAGAATCAGCCTTAAAAAAAAAGTAGGCACCCATTGTTTCCAGGATTGCATTCAGTGGTACCAAGAGCGTTTTCAGCTGTATCTGGCTCTTAAAGTCTCTTGGACTTGACCATTTTAACTTCATGGCTGGACTATTGTAATGAGTTCCGCAAGGAACAGCCATTGAAGACAACTTGGACATTTTAAGTAGTTCAGAATGCTGTGGCCTGTCTGTTGATTGGCATTTGTTATTCCTGTTTTAGACCAGCTACCTTAATTGTCAGTGCATTTCCAAGTTTAATTTAATTTCATTGACTGGGATGCATGTACCTGAAGGATGACCTCTGCTTAGGAGTGTCTGGGAGTTACCAGCAATGTCTGCTGTCTGCTATCTAATTGAAAGAAGCAAAAATGTCCATGGCCTGTCTAAGGGCTTTTCCTGAGGGATCCCACTGATACTGCTGTGGGCTGCTTCATCTTTGCTGACTTTCAGGACAGCTTGCCTCACCACACTGTGCACACACACACACATGAAAACATGAAACTGCCTTATACTGAATCAGACCATTGGTTCATTAAGGTCAGTATAGTCTACTCAGTGTGGCAGCAGCTCTCCACGGTCTTAGGCTGAGGTCTTCACATCACCTACAGCTTAATTGTTACTGAAGATACCAGGGCTTGAACCTGGGACCTTCTGCATGCCAGATGCTCTGGCACTTGAGCCACAACCCCTCCCTAACACTGTGCAAGGATACTGATTTGATAGGTTGTAATAAAATAATCATCTGGAGATATTTTCTGTTTATGGAGGTCCATCCTGCTTCCCTGCACAGAGTTTTTGCGGACATCATTCTGTTTCATGAAAAGCACCCCTTGCTGCATATGCATTTGTCTATGGAGGCTTGGATACCAGTACTTCTAGGGAATATTTACAATTTGACCCATTCACTTCATGTCAGGGCCATCTGATTGAGAGGCTGGAGATACAGCACAGTCCTTTCCCCCTAAGCAAAAACACCTCCGTTTGGAGGATCCTCAGCCTGATTCAAAAGTGGTTCCTACCTAGATTCTGATGGGAATTGAGCTCCTTCTCAACCTTAGTCCTTTGCCTTTCCCAGAACCCTACCTTTTGTTGATAGCAGCTTTATGGATGGAGTGGGAGTTCTGAATCATCTACAGATCGAGAAGGAGCGCTAATGCCAATTTAGGTGATGTGGAAGATGAAGTAAGCAGTAAAACTATCTTTGCATGTTTAGAATCCCTCTAGTACACTGGTTCCCATAGTGGGCAATACCACCCCCTGGGGGGTGCTGGAATGATCCAGGTGGGTGGTGGGAGCCTTGGGTACAATTGGGGGGCATTGAATAAAAATAAGGGGGTGGTGGAAGCAAAAAGAGGAGTCCAGAACCTATCTAAAGCAGCCTTTTCCTGGGATCAGGGAGGGAGGTGGAGAGGGGTCCCCACAGCCAATCACAGCCATGCATTTGAAAACTGCAAATGCATGTGCACCTTTGTAATACTGGTGATGCTGCTGGGCTATTGTGTGGTGGTGGCCGCTGCTGGCCTGTGGCTTCAGGCCAACATCTTTCTTTACTTACAACAACATCTTTCTTTACTATGTGCAAATTTGTCACTGCATCTTTTTATCCACTTCTTGAAGGTAGATTTCCAGGGGGGCGCTGAGTAAATTTTTTTCTGAAAAGGGGGCGGTTGGCCAAATAAGTTTGGGAACCTCTGCTCTAATAGATACTTGAGAATTCAGAGTTGTATCAGAGAGGCGAATATTCACAGATTCCACATTCACTAACATGGCTTTGAGGAATGCTGTCTCTTGGCTCAGTTGTCAAACTGTAATATTGGAATATTAATTATCTGTTTCACCAGGCTGTTAAGGGGATGAATGGCATGAGGAAGTATGATCAACCCTCACATTTAGGGATTTGGGTTTCTTGGTAAAACACACATAGGAGAATACTTTGAAGAACACATATTCTATTTTTTAAAGTAACCTTTATGCAGTTGTGATTGATGTCAGAAGTTTCAAGAAGTGATAGTATCTGAAATCTGCTTCAAAATCTAAAACAGCACAAAGACTCCAGATTTTCAGTATCCTTTTCAGAAGATTACATCCTAAGATTTCTTGTTTGCTTTTGTAAGACTACTTCATACTCAAGCAGGGGACTGATTCTTTTTTTTAAGAACACCTTTGAAAACATACCTAGCTTATTCTGGGAGGAGGAAGGTGACAATTTGTCCAGTGCCATTTGTGATAGGGAAGTATTGTCAACAACTGTGCCTGCTTTTGACCTGACTCTGTTCTGAATATGTATGTTGTAATTAAGTCAGCCCAGCAAAAAGGAAGGTCCCCAAATAAGTTGAGCACAAAAACAAATCTGTTTTGAGCCCCAGGCAGTCCTTGTTCAATCTCCTGCAGTTAGAAACCACACTGCCCTCCATCTCTCGTGCAGATGCCTGTCCCATAGAAGTGATGCTTCCTGTCTGAATACAACATGGTTGTAAACATGGCCATTTTTCCCCTCCTACTGGCCTATAATCTGAGTGGGTTTTCTAAAATTGTTGCAAAAGTGTCCTTAGTGAAGAGATTTCCTTCATCCTGTCAGGTATCTCAGGATACAGCTTTTCCAGGCAGACAATTTGCATCGGTACACAATTTATGACTTTCCTACTCCCAGTACTCTCCTTAGGCTTTAGATGGATGGGCCAGCATGATACGATGGATTATACCAGTGCAGCTAGATCTAGTAGTTCTGCAAAAATTCTTATGCAGCTTGTGGATACTCAAGATATGTCCACATATGAAAGGACTACTTGTTTAAATGTGGCACTCTTCTGCCCAAATACAATTCATATTCCCAGTACTACACTGGCAGTTAAAGGATTATAGATGAGAAAGACATTAATTTTCTTATTTTCTTTCCATTAATTACACCACTCCACAAATCAATTGAGCCAAAAGTGTTTTGCTTTGAACCACTTCATAAATGTCAAATCATTAGGCATACATCTCTTGGTCTACTCAGCTTCATAATACTTGGTGGAACATAGTCTGTGGATCAGAGTACAAATTATTCATCCCCCCCAGAAGTATTAACAATATTTTCCATCCTTTTTCTCCTAGTTCCTTCGGATTACAAGATGAATATCGTTGCCATAGCTGGAGGTGCTGGAGCTGGAGCTGCCGTCTTGCTACTAATACTCATCTTGTCCATTGCTGCAGCTGTTGTTCACCATAGGAAGTAAGCAGTTTGTTAGATTTGTGGAGATATAGGCAGGTTTATCTGGTATTTGTTCAGTGACCTTACTGCTATATTACCTTCTCTTTTATTCTTTATATAGCTAGGTAATTAACACTGATGTCTATGCCAGCAGTGACTTAGAGGGTGAGACCATTTATGCTTAGCCATCGAAAAAGAAAACATTTTGAGAAAGATAGGCAAGGTCATATATTGCTGAGGGAGAAGCATAGTTGCTTCTTCTCCATTTCTCAACTATCAGTTGCTATCAGAGGTACGTAATATAGCTGAAAGCTTCAGTTTAGGTCTGAAAATCCACTAGGCACACTTCTGAATTTTTCTAAGAGCTGCTCCCTTGGACTCTATATGAATATAATCTCAAAAATTCCTATGTTGGTCCCAGCACTAAATGCAATGATTTCTTTGTGTGTGTGTGTCACCAGAAAGAAGAGGAAAAGGATCATGCCGCCAAAAGTCTTTCTTACCACTCAGCCCCAGGTAAGACGCTTCTATGGGGGTTATACGTGTGTGTGTTTCAGGGATGGCTTTGGATGAGTGAATTCTATTTTATCTTTTATCCTTATTACAACATACTTACATTCTCAGCTTTTCTTACATTCTCAGCTTTTGATGCTTTGCTACACAGCACTATTATTCTGAGGCCCTGAGGATTTGGTCTTCTTTGTTCAGTCTTGTCATTTTCCATCAGAAGCAAAAGAGGATCAGTTAGTTACAACAGAAATCTCTTTTCCATCCATGAAGCAGTATCAGGCAGTGCTGGTTTGTGAGCTGATACAGTGCTGTTTCATTCTAATGACTAGTAGGGCAGGAAAGGGGGCAAGCAAAAGGGTCTTTGGGCTACGGGAAATTGAAGGGCCACTTGGAGATAGTGGTTGACAGCTAATGCACATATTTTGAAGCCCCTCCCCCTTTTAGGATTGTTTTCAAAAGCTCAGGACAGTGCTTGCCATTGTGCCTGCAGATACTTTGCATGAATACATGTGTACACCTGTTACCCTCGGTCATAGCACAGTGAGAATTAGAGCTAAGCTGAAATTGCTTCCGTACTTTCATGGTTCGTTTTGTATTTTTTTAAAAGCAGTTTTTTGGTGATCAGACATGGTATAAATATACAGTCTGGAGGGTTTTTTGCATGTTGTTGAGGACCATTCATTCTCCTGCCTGTCATGGCAAAGAAGGAAATTTTGTGCTGAGAAGTAGTAGCAGCAGTCAAGGGAACAAAAGCCTGCCCAAAAGAGATGAATGCTTGACCAGCTAGTAATTTTGCTGTGTTCAATACGCTAATTTCAAACAAATATTTGGGATTGCTCTAGTAACCTTGCTTATACTTATATTTATTAGCTTCTATGACCAAAGGTCTTAAGCTCAATTATAAAAGATGAATATACAACATTAGCCTCATAATACAAACTTTACAATAAAAGTTTACAGTCAAAGTAATCAAATCTAAAATATCTAAAATGTTAAAACAGAAGTCATTAATAAAACTATAATTCATTTAAATATCCATTTAAATCATAATAACTGGGTGCATACCAAATTCTGTTACAGTTGGGTCAAGCCAGATTTTTGTCGCTTTACAGATAAAACTATCATTAAAAAATTAGTGACAGAATAAGTGGTTTCAGGATTAGTATCTGTCAACAGATAGGGGACCACCCAGAGTTCAGTAGGTAACCGGTGTTTGGTAAGAACTGGAGTGATCCAAATCGATCTAGGAGTCGACCACTGATGACATAATAATAGAAGATGGCCAAGTGTTTCCACAGCTCCAGTCTCACAGTTACATAAGCGATCCGAGTATGGGATTTTAGAAAAGCGACCTGTTAACTCAGCAGTGGGAAGAGTTAAGCCTAGCAAAAGTGAAAACGTGTCTATAACTAGGTGTTTTTAGGGATCTAGTATATGGAGGAAGAGATTCCAGAGGAGGAATGCCAAAGGCAAGAGTGGAACATACACGTCTTGATCGAGCTAAAGTACTAGCCCGATCAAGATTAATGACCTTTATTCTGGTCTGCTTTGCTGATAAGTTAAATTATTCCATACTGTTGGAGGAAAGCCCAATAACTCAAGTCTAGCATCTAGATACCTTTCCCAGCTACTTTTGTGGTTGTCCTCCTTTATCAAACATAGAAGGCCACCTTGGGCGTTTAGTGCTGAGTATGCTCTAGTAACAGTGGTGAAGCATAGGCCCACATTTATGAATGGTTTTATGAAACATACTGCTCAGGCATTTCCAGAAAAAGGCATCTAGTTTGCTTCGGTTTTCTGCTTGTGGCACATTGAAATCAGATGTGGGTTGGTGCATGAAAGGTTTTCTGTCAGGGTAGGGGGTTAAGTACATCCCTTCAGTCTTCTGCCTAACTTTTCCCCTTCTCCATTCCCCAAACTACAAAGGTGTTTCCCAAATATTCAGACAAAAAATGCATAGAAATTGCATCATGGGCTTTAAAACATAACACTGGAAATAATCCTAATGGTGAAAATCTCTGTTATGAGAATAGAGACCCTTTTGCTGATAGCAATCTTCAATTCACTGATGCCTTATTTCCCCCCCCTAGCACTTCTGTGGCCGAATGAATGCAAGTGAAAGAGAAACTATGACTGCATCTGCCACAAAACGGGAGGCGATCTATGTCAACTACTCAGGTGGACAAAAAATGCGAGTGTGACTCTTTTGCTACCCTTGTGAATGAGCTTGCCTCAAGTATATACAGATCTGTATTGAGATTCTATATGTGCTAATGTGACTTTTCCCCCAATTACCTTCCAGTTCATTCAGGAATGAAGAGATTCTGCATACACATGCATATACATACACAGGCATGCAGGGTGTGGTGTATAAGGCCACCTTGGGCGTTTAGTGCTGAGTATGCTCTAGTAACAGTGGTGAAGCATAGGCCCACATTTATGAATGGTTTTATGAAACATACTGCTCAGGCATTTCCAGAAAAAGGCATCTAGTTTGCTTCGGTTTTCTGCTTGTGGCACATTGAAATCAGATGTGGGTTGGTGCATGAAAGGTTTTCTGTCAGGGTAGGGGGTTAAGTACATCCCTTCAGTCTTCTGCCTAACTTTTCCCCTTCTCCATTCCCCAAACTACAAAGGTGTTTCCCAAATATTCAGACAAAAAATGCATAGAAATTGCATCATGGGCTTTAAAACATAACACTGGAAATAATCCTAATGGTGAAAATCTCTGTTATGAGAATAGAGACCCTTTTGCTGATAGCAATCTTCAATTCACTGATGCCTTATTTCCCCCCCCTAGCACTTCTGTGGCCGAATGAATGCAAGTGAAAGAGAAACTATGACTGCATCTGCCACAAAACGGGAGGCGATCTATGTCAACTACTCAGGTGGACAAAAAATGCGAGTGTGACCCTTTTGCTACCCTTGTGAATGAGCTAATGTGACTTTCCCCCCAATTACCTTCCAGTTCATTCAGGAATGAAGAGATTCTGCATACACATGCATATACATACACAGGCATGCAGGGTGTGGTGTATACAACAGGTGGTAATTTAAATAGAGCAAAGTCTTTGGCTGTCAAGAAATTAGAAGATGGCAGCAGATTTTCTTTGTACTCTAGGTCTGAAAACAGGTGTGCCCTAGAGGAATGAGAGACACTGGGCAGTGTCCTTCAAGTTGTTTTACAGCCAAGTATTTAGTTGATGAAATGCCATCATCTACTTTCATGGCTTCAGAGGCTGACAGTTTGATGAGGCTGTGGTTGGTGACGAGAGATGTATTGTCTGGTCACAATTCAGTTCACAAAATCAGAAACGTTCTCTTTCCTTATGCCCAGAATGAATAGCTTTTTTGGGAGTTCCTTCTATTCACTATAAAGTGATTGTTCAGGCTTTGATATGGTAAACAAATTGACATATGTCAAGTCTCTGCTTTTCTGTACCACAAAAAGAGAAACACCACCACCACACACATAAGGACTCTTACCATCAAATTATAGTTAACAATTATAACTATTTATTTATAAGGTTTATTTGCAACAAAAATAAATGAGAACAAGAATAGTATGTGAATTAAAGTTACAAACTGAAGCAGGAAAAGAGACTGGTCAACATATAATAAGTATGTACACATATATAAATATATATGTGCATATGTATCTCCTGCATAAGGATAGGAGGAAAAAAATCAGTGAAGAAAACCAAAAAAACAGAATTTTATTGAGGCCTATGCATTATTTAAATTCTCGCCTTTCAACAAAGGAGCAAGAAAACTCCCAGGAAAACTAGTGGCAGCTGCCGAGTGCTCTGCTGTCTTAGGGTAAGTGTGGATCAGATTTCCACATGTCCCTTCTCACTCCAACTTTTCTTAATTTTAACTTGACAGCCATTTGCATTTCCACTAAAAATGAGGCCCAACAGGGGCTAGGGCAAGCCAGGTGGCACACTAACTACCATAGTAAGACTGCTAATCATTTGTTGCCATTGTAACCAAATGTGTGGCTCCATTTAGGAATAGGATTAGTGTATGCTTTTGGGGTGCCCTGACCTGGATGGCCCAGGCAGGCTAGTCTGATATCATCAGATCTAGGAAGCTAAGCGGGGTCTGCCTTGGTCGGTACTTGGATGGGAGACTACCAAGGAAGTCCAGGGTTGCTATGCAAATGGCAAACCACCTCTGAATGTCTTTTGCCTTGAACAACCTATAGGATCGCCATAAGTCTGCTGTGATTTGATCTGCCCCATTTTGGACCTGCACATACAGCACTCCATGCACCTGTAGCTCCAAAATGGGGCAGATCCCCCCCCGACCATTTTGGCTTTGGAAAACAGTGCAAGGGGGAAGACAGAGCCCTGCCTCTCTCCGATTGTGACCTTAAGTTGAATCCCCGCCCCCGACTGATACAATGATGTTCCTCACCACTGCTCTGTGGCTGCAGTGAAAGCGATTCTGGTAGGGGGAACCTGACTAGTTAAACACCGTATTGTATTCTTAGGCCCATTATCTTCAAGCATTACAGCTGTAAGAGTTATGAACTTTTTTAATCTTCTAGGTTAAATCTGAGATTTTTAGATACATTTGGTGCCTCTTGCAGTGGCGCAGGGGATAATTCCCCTGCTTAACTATAACATCTGAACTGCCGAGCTTTGTCAGTTCTAGCCCCATGCTGGTGTGAGCAACCAAGCCTTGTCCTAGCTCATCGTCTACCCAGCGATTCGAAAGCTTTGGCAAGTAGATAAATTGGGGACCACCCGTAAGGGGGTGGGCACACCACTCCCTTTGGGAAGGTGTTAGCTGCCGAGTGTGACTTCTGTGGCGCGGCAAGATCAAAAGATGAAAGATCTGTTTCGGCATCCCTGCAGTGGAGTGAGTCGGCCAGGTGGTGGCAGTGTGGCAGTGCGACATCAAGAAGCCCTGACATCATCAGCCAGCTGACAAGAATACATGCCATCGGAACACGACTGATCCAGCCCGCAGACGAATCCTCCGGCCAGCTACAATGTGTGTGTAATTAAAAATACTGTATGTTGTCTTCCCTATCCCCCATGAGTATTGTTAGTCCAAATGTCATGAGCAATGTTCCCTCTAAGCACTGGAGTCCTGTGAGCAAAAATTCGAATCTGTGAGCTACTGGCATTAAAGTTGTGAGCGAGCGATTTGGCTGCTGCATAGATTAGTTGGCTCTGGAGCCCTCCTTCCTGAGCTTAGAGGGAACACTGGTCATGAGTAACTGTAAATTGCTCTGAGCCCACACGTGTGTGGGGAAAAGCGATCAATAAATCAAAAGTATTATTATTATTTATTATTGCCACATTCCGTTCTTGTTCTCAGCTACTGCACATAGCCCTCATATCCAATACAGTAGCACACATGAGGTACACAGTTAACATCAGCTTGACAGGAGACAGGCTGTAGGAAGTATCTGGCCAGACTATCTGAAACTAGTTAGTATGTGAAAGTGTTAGAAGATCTGCAGGATAACTGTGGAAGGGGAGGAGAAAGCTGCAACCAACATCATTGTTAGAATCAGCTGAAGCTGACACAGGAACAAAGCCAGTGCTATAGTTGATGCAACCACTGAACTAGGTACTCTTCACTACAAGTTTGGAGTCTTTAGGTTCTCCTTACAACCGAGATGGCCCCAGTTTTTAGACATGGTGACCTACACATTCAAAGGCAATAAACCACTGAATAAACCACAGAAACGCACTGGTATTTCTGGTCACTGTGTGATACAAAGTGTTGGATGGGCCTTTGGCCTGACCCAACATTGGTGTCTCTTATGTTCTTAGTGCCAGAAGGCAACTTCCAGGGAAGGCCGTGGCCTCTGTGCCCTGTTGTGGTTCACCTCCAGAGGAACTGGTTGGCCACTGTGTGAGACAGGATGCTGGACTAGATGGACCACTGATTTGATCCAGCAGGCCTCTTTTTATGTTCTTACTACCTACCAGCTAGTTTAGCTGTTCTGCTCAGCATAGCTACTTTCCCTTTTAAGAAGTATTTGCTTACTTGTCTGAACATTCATTTCTAGTGCCCATTCATTTGGTTGGCAAAGATGAGCAAACAGTTTCTTGCAGCTTCAGGTGGATTCCACGCAGCATCTCCAAAAGGCAGCTATTTGGGTAGCAGTGGGAGAGGTTTAGGAAGATTCTTCTGGTTGCTATGTGTTGGGAGAGAACAGGGCAGAGCAGGTATTCTTACACGTTAGCTGAATCAAAAAGAGCTTCAAGACTAAAATCCTGTACAAGCAAACAGCAACAAGCTGACTCACCTAGACTTGAAGATTTTAATTGTTTACATCATCATTATTATCACACAACTAGAAATCATCTTTAGGGATCTGCGAGCTCTTTTAACAAACCTATATGTACTACAAGGAGAATTTTCCCCATCAGTTGAAGAACTCAGAAAATGTTTATCTTTGAATGTGAACCACAAAGCTGTATCTTGTCAATGAAGAAAAAGAAAAATACTATTGTACCTGAGTTATCATACATATACTATATACTATAAATTGTGCACAGGATTACAAGGAAAAAAACCCTCCATGGCATTGACTTATGATCAGAAGTCTTCATTTTATACCAGTGCCAAAATGGCAGCCCAAGATGCATGCTCTACTGCTTGCCCCCTTTTCTCCCATATATTGGCAGACAAAGAACTGCATAGTTTGCCATGACATTTGAAGAAGCCCACTTCCTCTTGAGGTTCATGTCTGGAAATTGTGCGTGTGGAAATCACAAACAGTCTGAAAGGCCTTGCTGTGTGTTCTGTGGGGCATTACCAAGGCAGAATGGAGTAGAAGCCCTTACTGGGATTTTTATACTTACAAGGGGGCAAGCAGAATGGGACAGCTAGACTTGTTTCTACAAATGCACACTTACAACTGCACCCCTAGTTGCTCATGTATGCTGATATTGCTCCAGATCTTCAGGATGTGGTCCCACACTAATTTCTGTAACTGCTGCAACTGCTTGTCTTAAACTAAAATATACTCTTCCTCCATGAACTGTATGCTGCTGAGTATAAATGTATTCTTGGTTCCATCATAACAGCAATGGTACACTAACTAATTTGTATTTAGCTTGTAACCAGGCCTTTTCTCTGGAAGAACATGTTTTTCTAGTGAAATGTGCAAACAGAAATTTACTTTTGCCTTCAACACTCCCCCCCTTTGAATTGAACAAACATTCTTTATATAGCAGACATCCCATAGTCTCTTCTACTCCATACTCTTTCCAGTTAATGGGGAAAAATTATACTGCACATTATGATGTTTGTTTAATCTAGTTTAATTCAAATTTCATCAATGCTTTGGTTCACAGGGAAAACTGGATCAATACATCACACAGACCAGAAGAGCAGTGAATTTAATGTCCATTAACTAGAACATGAAACAATAGTAAATGCACCATTCATTCAAAAAAGAGCATCAGTGAACAACAGCTGAATGCCGTTTTAAAATCACTTAAAGTAACCCCTCCCTCTTACATCAATAAATTTAATTCTCAGCATGGCCAAATCTGTAGATACTTAAATCCAAAGACTGGAGCCATTAACAGAAAAGAAAGGTATTTCTACAAACCCGAAAAAGCTTGAGGTTTGCAGAAAAATCTGAATTAAAAACAACAACATTAAAATGGGTGGGTTAACCCCTCACATAATAGAATTTGTGCCTGTAGCTTTAAATGCCTTTTCTGTGGGAGTTACTAGGAAGCCACAACAGTATTGCCTGCCTTCAAACCTTGGTTTCTGTCAGTAAATGGCAGATGGAGGGGGAAGTGTCCTTTCCAGGAGTGTTTTGGCTTTTGAAGGAGGACATATGGGGCCAGTCCTGGTAGCAACCAACAGGCAACTTGATACCACGTGACTTGCATGACTCAGCCAGGACTAGCTGCTTGCTACTGTTCA